ACATGAATATCATATAAAAGCAAAACGGCTGCAGTACAACAAGATTTATCCATCCTCATCTGGTGAGATCGACCAACAAATCTCTTCTTCATTCACTTCCATGCAAAATGATAGTTCCTCTAGTAATATTATCTCAAGATATTATTCTAAACCCAGTTTTTCTTCATATCTACACTTATTTATAAAATCCAGGAGTTTTCGAAAATCCTCCAGTGAGAATCCTGCCCAGATCCTTCCCACATCTAGAGCTTCTCAGTTTCGTAACTTCCCCTAATTTCTGGAAGGAGGTGCAATAAAGTATTTCATTAAATGTGTCGAAAGAAGGAAAATTGCCCATTAAATGAATGTCTTAATGATTACAGACTTACGATTAGCATAAAATGCGCTGCTACCTTTACTTCATAAACCAAAGAAATTAATTTGATCAATATGCGTTCGATTTTAATGCTAAAAATCACAAATAAAGATGAACCTACACTACAATTAATGGACTCATGACTCACCTACGACATTGGAAGTGAACTCGTTCTTATTAGCAATTGTATTCAAAGTCGAAGCCCCAGATACAGCCGGAGAAAGCAATTCAAGCTCTACTAGAAGTGGGAAGTGATCAGATGGAACGTGAACATGTGGACAACCGACAACCTTTTCCTGGTTGAACCAGCTGTCGGGCAGCTGATCCAGGCTACCTAGTAGATGGAAGTGCTGTCGTGTGAAGAATACATAGTCGATCATACCCTTAAATTCATAGCTAAAGGTAGACAAGTAGAAGGAAAATGGAGGTATTTTTTTATTCATCTACAAAAAGCTACAAATAAAACTTAAAAAACATAAGTGATACTAGATATCGTGTTGGCTTGACCTGGTTTTCGCAACTTGGTAGAAGCGACATAAAGACCTTGTGAAACATACCTAGTCTTGCATCCTCTGCCATTGCACTCACGATAATTTCCAGCATCGGATCATTGACTCAGCACTTTCCCAGACGTTTCCTAGAAATCACTCTGTACACATCTGGTTTATAGAACTTTGGAGTCAAGGAAGATCACAAGAACAGTTGCTAAAGGATTATAAATGAACTGGATGCAGAAGACTAGGGAATATTACGATACTTTATTAAACGGGACCAAATAAAGTAAGGCAACATTGGATTTCATATAGAAGGTTAGAATGAATAAAATATAACGTTATAAAGCAAGTATTTAAGTACAAGAGAAATTTCCATCTCACAATATTGCTAAGATAACTATAATAATGCA